GAGTTTTCTTCTGGTTCTGGTTCTGATGGAGGTTTCTTCTGGTTCTGGTTCTGATGGAAGTTTCTTCCTGGTTCTGATGGAGGTTACTTCTGGTTCTGGTTCTGATGGAGGTTTCTTCTGGTTCTGGTTCTGATGGAGGTTACTTCTGGTTCTGGTTCTGATGGAGGTTTCTTCTGGTTCTGGTTCTGATGGAGGTTTCTTCTGGTTCTGGTTCTGATGGAGGTTTCTTCCTGGTTCTGATGGAGGTTTCTTCCTGGTTTTAGTTCTGATGGAGGTTTTCTTCTGGTTCTGGTTCTGATGGAGGTTTCTTCTGGTTCTGGTTCTGGTTCTGATGGAGGTTTCGTCTGGTTCTGGTTCTGATGGAGGTTTCTTCTGGATCTGGTTCTGATGGACTGTTTTTTTCTTGTTTAGGTTCTGATGGAGGTTTTTATGGTTCTGGTTTTGGTTCTGATGGAGGTTTCTTCTGGTTCAGGTTCTGATGGAGGTTTCTTCCTGGTTCTGATGGAGATTTCTTCTGGTTCAGGTTCTGATGGAGGTTCTTCTGGTTCTGATGGAGTTTTTTCTGGTTCTTATGGAGGTTTCTTCTGGTTCTGATGGAGGTTCTTATAGTTCTGATGGGGGAAATAAACTAAACTACAGAAATAAGAATAATAAGAATTTTTAAAGTATTTTTTCAGATAAATGGAAATGACTGTTTTACCGTTTAGTTTCTTCCAGATTTGAAATAAAAACCAGCAGAGGAAACGCGGAGGAGGCAAAACCTCGATCCCGGTTCTTTTTGGGTGATAATTCCCGTTTATTTCTCCCCTCTAGGCTCTGGGACTTTGTTTAATTAGCAGGTTGTGAAACCCGAAGCGTCTTTCTGTGGACCTGCATCTGGTTCTCATCACCCGGGAAGCCTCCGCGTTTATTTCTGGATTCCCAGGAATCCCAGAGTTCATGAGTCACTTCCTGTTCGGCCGTGACCTCACTGACCAATCGAAACCCGAGTAGCTGCTCACTTCCTGTTTGTGGCAGAACGTCGACTCTTTCTCAGAACATCTCCCTCCTGACATCAGGAGACTCTAAATGTCTACACCAGTGTTTTTCAACCTTTTTTGAGCCAAGGTACATTTTTTCATAGAAAAAATCACGAGGCACACCAACCAAAAATGTCAAACAAATCTGTAGCCGCCTATAGTAACACTATAGTTATTCTTATCATATTCTTATCTTATCCTAAGTGTCTTGAATAGGAATCAAATAAACACAAAAATGTATTTTTATCATATTTTATATTGCTTCTTTCAAATTGCTCTTAACATGTCCACTTCAATATACAAAATTATATACAAAATCTAGTCATAAGGAATTATTACATGATTACTCCACCAGTCACTAGAACAGCACAGACACTCAAAAATGGAATATTATTTGCAGATAATTAATTCCTTATCAAAAAATCTTTTTAGACCAATTAGGTGAAATAGGATGATTTTCTACGGACCACCTGACCATCACTAACGGCACACTAGTGTACCGAGGACCAGGGGTTGAAAAACACTGGTCTAAACGAGGGGAAGCTGGACTCTCCATCAGACGGTCACGAGTCCAAAGAACAACTCGTTCAGAGAAAGAAGAAGTCAAAATGGCAAAGAAATGGACACAAAGTGACCACAAATAGGAATAAAAGACATACGGAGGACAGAAAATGGCCAAAAGAAGAATCCAACTGTTAGAAAAAAACAAAAACATTAATTGAAAGACCATTTTATTTTTACCAGTTTGAACAAACAACTCTGAAGATACAAAATGACCACAAACAGACAAGAATCAAAAGTCATAGAAGTAAAAGAATAAATAAGTAAATAAATAAATAAATAAATAAATAAATAAATAAATAAATAAATAAATAAATAAATAAATAAATAAATAAATGAATGAAATACAGAGAACCCAAAGAAGAAAGAGAACGATCACACAAAAACAATGAAGGAAAATAAAGAGAAGTGACAAAAAGACAAAACAACCACACAAAAGTAAGCACAAACAGGGAAAAAAGTAGAATATTAGACTCACAATCACCACGAAAAAAACATGACACTGCTACAAAAATGCGTAAAGTGACCAAAAGCAGACATGAATCACAAGTCATAGAATCAATAGAATAAGTAAACAAATAAGTAAATGAATAGATAAATAAATACAAAGAAGCAAAAGAAGAAAAGAAAACAATGACACAAAAACAATGAAGGAAAATAAAAAGCAGCAACAAAAAGACTAAACAACCACATAAAAAAGGCACAAACAGGAAGAAAATGAGAATATTAGACCACAAAAAAATGAAGCTGCTACAAAAAGACAAAAAACAACCACAAATAGACATGAATCACAAGTCATAGAACTGAATAAATAAATGAATAAATAAAAGAAGCTAAAATAGATCCATAAAAACAAAGAAGCAAAAGAATAGAAATAAAACAATCAAACAAAAACAATAAAGGAAAATAAAAAGCAGCAACAAAAAGACTAGACAACCACATAAAAACAACAACATATTAGACTCACAATCACCACAAGAAAGATGAAGCTGCTACAAAAAGACAAAAAAACAACCACAAATACACATTAATCACAAGTCATAGCACTAAAAGACTAACTAACTAACTAACTAACTAACTAACTAACTAACTAACTAACTAACTAACTAACTAACTAACTAAATAAATAAATAGATAGATAGATAGATAGATAGATAGATAGATAGATAGATAGATAGATAGATAGATAGATAGATAAAAGAAGCTAAAATAGATCAATAAATACAAAGAAGCAAAAGAATAAAAAGACTAAACAACCACATCAAAAACAAGCACAAACAGGAAGAAAAGCAGCATTTTAGACTCACAATCACCACGAAAAACAAAGACGCTAAACAACCACAAACAGACGGAAAGTAACTCTGAAATTAAACTGGAACACCTGAGCGGAGCGGCCAGGTGAGCAGAAACACGGGGAAACTCCCACTTCCTCCCTCTGATGCAAACAAAGCATCTCCCACAACAGACCTCTGTCTCCATTATCACAGCGGTAAAAACGCGTAAAAAACTCCCACCGCCGCTTTCATTTCCTCCCACGTCTGATTATTAACTCCAGAGTCTTTGTGTTGGGTTTTCCCTCCGTTTGGG